TAATTAGCTGACTGGAACCAATTGACAGGTGTATAAGTAAATAAACAAACAACAATGATGCCTTACCTGAAGAGACAGCTGCTAGTGCTGAAGGCGACCATGAAGGAGGCAGCTCTGCTCTGCCAGCTGCTGCTGTTTTTCACCATAATTTTCAGGCAGGCACACCTTATCCCTCCTCCCCATGTGTCTGTTTGTGGATATCTGTCCCATTACAATGCTGTTCTAATGTTATAATAATCACCACTTTTGAGTGATTGTGTCTCAATTCTTTGCAGTGTGATAGGCATGTGCCTGTTTGTTGGGAAATTTACCTTCGAGACCCAGAGCGGAAGCACCATCAAAGACCGGATGAATTTTGACTCCGTACTGTGATCCATGGTCACTGTGTTTTAGGTCAGTTTTTGTGGTCCTAATCCGTGCCATCATCGTTGTATTCCATCATCATGCTATTTGTGAATGAATCTGTCTGTCTTGCTATCTTTGATTAAATCTATCAATCTAGATCCTGACTGAGGACGACTGGAATCTGGTGTTGTATGATGCCATGGCTGCCACCTCCCCATAGACCTACTTTTTCGCATCATCGTGGGTCGGATGTTCTCGTGGGTGTTGCGTCCACAGCTTCCAGGCCATGTTGAGGACTTCTGTTGTACTTTTCTCCAAGAGCTTGTATTGAATTGTAACCTTGAATACGAAATATGTGAAATGTATCTACAGTCAATCAAACAATTATAATATGAATATCCAATAATACATGAATAGTGGATTAATATTGACTTGGTCTTAAATTGAGCTTAAATTGAGAATTTTTCAACTGCACATAAACTCAAAACAATGAATTAATAAAAAAAAAACCCACTGAGGATGAGATTTTAATAAAAGCAAATTCTCACACACAAACACACACACACACACACACACATATATATATACATATATATATATATATATATAGAGATTATCTGTGGTCAAAGTCAGTTCAGTTTTTTGAACCGGGGTTTGTGTTTGTAAATGTAATTAATCACCTCAGCCCCGCTGTCAGAGCACACCCTCTGAAACTGAATCCCAATAATGCTAATAAACCAAAGCCTTGATAGCTGACTGTGAGACTGAAATACCAACTGACAGAAAAACTCTACTAACCCCTGTCTCCCTCTCGAGGAGGAGGACGAGGAGAAGGCCATGCTGCACGCAGAGCGGGCCCCATTGTCTCCAGAGGAGGGCGTCAGCTCCGAGGGCCACGTAGATAGATCTGACATGGAGCCGGCCCCTCCATCTCCGGCACAGTCCCAGATCAAATCCAGCTCTGCAGACTGATCCTCAGGGTAATCAATCAATCAATCAATCAATCAATCAATTAATCAAATCAATCAGTATATATAGCTAGATAATAGAGATGTTTGTACTTTTGTTTTAAAAAAATTTGTGATAGAGATAATTAAATTGTTACTTTGTGTAAATTATTGTAAATAATTGTGTATATTTGTCAATTACATTCAATGCCACATGTTAATCTTTGATCACTGTTAATCTTTATTTCATTGTTTTAAATAGTAATAAGTAGTGCCTTTTACATTTGAATGTTTGTGTTTTAACTTTAAATTGGTAATAAATATTGTCTTATTTTCTTGTTTTTTGTTTGTTGTAAATAAAATTTATCCTAAAAACTGAACAAACCTGATTTACTGTTGTGACTTTTCATTGATTATTTATTTGTTTGAAGCAGTGACATAAACCTGCTTTAATGTTCTTTGTATCAGAGCTGAAGTGTGAACAATGATATGAATGGTGTAAGTTACAGTTTTGTGCACCATCATTTTAAAAATACAGGGGTGAAGTTGGAGTGAATGCCCTTGTTTACCGACCAAATTATCAATGAATGTTGACATAAGCACTCAGCTCATGTAGTTTATAGCAAAGCTGATATCAGTTCAGATGTACAGCATGGACACTGATCACAGACACCTGCTCCCTGGGAAAATCCAGGAACAAACTATAATAATAGGAAACGCCAAGACGTGATTTCAGTTTCACTGCAGCAGTCCTTTCTGCAGACACCACATGGTCCAGGTACTAAATAAAATATCAATTAAAATCAACAAAAATGTTTTGCTGTCTTCCACTTTGCTAAGACTTAAGTCATTAACCCTCTCTCTGTTATGGTCAGTGCGATCTTGGGAGCCAAGAGGCAGAACACAAACGAGACTGCAGTTCAAAGGTAATATTTTTGTAGACTTGTGGAGATTACAGATGAGGGGGCTGAGCCAGAGTTGTCACAGGAGAGAGGCAGGTGAATGAAACTGGTATTAGTGGAGCGGGNAAAATATCAATTAAAATCAACAAAAATGTTTTGCTGTCTTTTTATTAGTGGAGCAGGGCAGGCAGTTAAAGTGATCCAAACTGGAGCAAGAGATGAAGACTGAGCTGGATGTGGCAGGAAACAGGAGAGACTGGAATGATGAACCTGAGGCAAACAGGATTAACAGGCTTCAGGAAAAACAAACTACACAAGGGAAGAGAACAGGAAAATACAGGGAATGAGGGATGGATACAGCCTGACTGTAACTCTCCACACCCACAAAAAACATACAGGGCTTGTTCTTTACATCCTGTTTGTTTTCAGTGACTTAATGTTAAACTGCTGAACTGTGGGCACTGACTCCCACTGACTGCTGCTGTAAATTGATTGTTCCTCCACCAGCTTAGCTAATGTGACTTTAATAAGACTAATGCAGGTTCCACACTGTGACCTCTGGGTCACACACACACACTCACACACACACACACACACACACACACACACACACACACACATGGCCCAGTTAATCTGACTGCATGGATATGCTAATCTGTGAGACCAACAATACAACATAAGTAAGTAAAATGCAAGCACTGCAAAACAAAATTAAACAACACCTAAGACAAATCACAGCACAGATTGAAGCATCTCAGCTTGACTGAACACAAAAAAGGTAGTAGCCTGCTGTTTTCTGATTTCTAAGGTTTATTTACATCAGTCATATTTGTTAACCTGTCAGTGAAATGTGTATATTTTTAAATTATGATTATTATAACACCAAATTATTTACATTTTCATTTCAGTCCTGAATCAGTTTGGTAATAAGTGAGTGATTGTACCAGAAAATAAAATATTGTTAGTAACTTAGAAAGAGTGGTAGTTTAATTTAATCACGGGACAGAACTATTAAAATAAAACATGATTATATCATAATACATATAACCAACAAACATTAGTAATTGTATCTTTTAAAATGTCTAGAGAGGGGGAGAGTGTAACCCCACCCCCCACCCCCAATGGGGCTCAAACACAAACTGTCAAAGTGAACCGTTGATTATGTGTCATTAATAATCTGTCTTCTTCCTCTCTCCTCTTGCAGGCAGCTCATCTCTCCGGCAGATGGCCATGTGTCGTGCAGGACATGACGGCCAGTCCCGGTGCCGCGGTGTATGGTGGGAAACATGGGATCAGGTAAGCTCCTCAGCTTTGTCAAGTCTGACAGACATAACTACACAAATGCAGGAAATCGTGAGACTTCGCCTTCAGAATAAAGAGTATAAAAGCGCGACGTACTTTTATTTCAAGGCTCTAATGTTGAGTTCTACTCAGGTTAGATATATCAAGTATATCAAGTTATTACACAATGCTTTAGTATTTTAATATTCCACAATTTGTTTATTTATTTATCTATTAATGATTTAGTCATCTATGCTGTTCTAATGTCTTGGCATTCTTCTTTGTTGGAGATGAGCAAAGTCCATCCTTCTGTCATGGAAAGATGTTTTTACTTCAAAAAGGATTTGATGTGACACAGGAAGCTACAGGCTCCTCTGTGTCTCCATGTGTAAACTGCACGTGCACGCCTTTTGTGTTGTGGTCTGTTTACTGTGGATAAATAAAAGTCACAAAGCTTCAGAGACTCCATCTTGTGGTAAATGATAGACCTACATCTTGGTTCAGATATTGCACATATTAACATAAAATTCTGCATAAATGTGCCTCAGCCCTGATCCCAGTTTAGTGTAGCCAGTTTATTATTATTGTGTTTCCATGAAGAAGTTGGTGAGATAAGAAGAGTTATGCTGATGTGAAAGTTGAATCCTGACGCTTGTAATGTAGAGGGCAAGTTGTGTATTGCTTGACAATTTTGTCTACAGTTACTGGTGACGAGTCAGTGAAATTAAACAGAGTGGTAATTGAAGATGGGCCTGTACAGACAACAGACAGCAATCAGAAGCGTTTGTTTTAATGTTGCATAAAGAAATATGAATTACCACGTTTTCCCATGATCCTCCAGTGCTAACACAGTGCTATGGACGAAGACAGGCGATGCAAAACTACATGATTCAACCATCACATCCCAAATCTGATGTAAAACCAGGACATGACTGATAAGCTGGATACTCATGAGCCTAAGGGACGCCATTCTTGGGCCTAAAACTAAAAAATATGTGTGTTAAAATTTAATTTTGCTTGAAAGCCAGAAACATGTGTTGTGGACAAAATTGATTATTACATATCAACCTTCAAGTCAGACTTTGTGTAAATACATATCAGAAACACATCCGTTAAGCTCCCATTATCTATGTCAATGTAAGACGAGAATATTTAGATTAGTTACAAAAACACTTTTATGTGGATGTTATACCGTGTAACTAGAATGCAGCGATATCGCCTTTCTTGCGCATTGAGGCTTTTAGTTTGAAGGTGAGAACCGGAAGTTGACGCCGGTGCCTCTGTAAAGACTGGAGCAGCTGAGAGCTGAGGAGGCGGCAGGTGAATGACTTACAGCCTCTAGTTTTCACCGTCTCACCTGTTCAACGTTAAATAAACGGACAGATACTGTGAGAGCAAATGCTCCGCGGTGTCTGACAGGTCCCTCCGTCCACAGAAAAACAACAACACCAGCTCAGAGTGGACAAAAAGACCAAACCACGCCGCCGCAGCCCGGACTTAGCAGGTAGGCTATAAATAACTGTTGATTTGGATCTGAAATGAAGTCTGCGTGTGTACCTGTGTGTTTACATCCTGTTGTAGAGCATAATTATCAACCACAGACAGACGCGTATGTGTTGTACAGCGGCCAATGATGTTTTCACTCAGTCACAGCAAAAATTAAATTCATTTAATTTGTTGAAATGAACGGAAATGTCTCGTAATGTGACGCAGTAGTTGTTAAATCAGCTGAGAGGGTTGTGGCAGCTGTATATTGGCATGAAAGTACGTTATTCCTGACGTGTTGGAAAACCGACCCTGAGGCCTGTTGCGCCGCCCACAGTAAACAAAAGGCATAGACTCTGTGTGTGTGTGTGTGTGTGTGTGTGTGTGTGTGTGTGTGTGTTTTCTTATATTTTAACAAGTAACCCTCTCAAGTCCAGGTTGATTTTGGTAAATATATTTCTGATATCTATTCATAGGAACCTATAAATACAAGAGAGGTGACACAAGTGCCTATAGATCAGAATCACTCAAAATATTATTGTAGGACAGTTCAAGATTATAAAAAAATATTGTTTTACTGTTTATACACACAAATACAGCAGAAACAATGTAAGACATAACGTTATAATGCAGTCTATTTATATGGTTTATTCAAACTCTTCATTGAAAGTATCTAAATGCCTGTAAATCACTGAAAACATTCATAATTCACTGTTTTGAATATTTCTTTCAAAAGTGTTTCATGCTCCACACATGAATGAGATATTATTTGAAAGACTCACATCAGCATTTCCAACTCATAATTAATTATCATATTGATCATCAACAATGATACTATTATATTACTATAAAAACATGTTAATTGTGTTCATAGATGCAGAAACATACTCTAGAGAGATACCAGTTGCCTGTAAAGACTGGAAAAAATACCAAAATCCAAACCATCATTTAGTTTCGGTTTATAATTCTGTGATTAAAAAACTAAAAAGCTTTCTGTGACTGGGTGGATAGATAGACAGATACATAACATAACAATACTCAGATATATCATAACAGGTTGTTTGTGTTGTATGTTGTTTTTCTTTTGCTTCATTTTGTTTGTGTTCTGTCTCCATGTTTCATGTTGGACTGAGTGTCTTCAGAATATTTGCACAAGGTGTTAGATTGAGTTTTTTTTGTGACGGAATAAAATCAAAGCAAAACAGATAGAAAGATACTTCATTTGAACTACATGAGAGTGAAAAGTCAGTCTTGAAATGTATTTCAGAAATCACTTTTGGAAATCTGAAGCAAAGTCTTATATTAAAAATCCTCTATCCAGTTACACTGACACGCAGCATTTCTGCCGACGTGAGACAAAAAATTCTGGTCAGCTTCTTATAACAACAGTTTTTTTCTTAGACTTAACACACTGTCTTAAACTAACGTTCTAAACCTGATATAGCTGATGACCTGACATGCAAAGAGAAATATTTGGACTCATGCTGACCTTTGGATAACAATCTGCCTGCATGTTAACCATGAACTGTAACGTTTGTATTTAGTTCCATATCCCCACTTCTCCTGTCAGATCAGAGCAGAAAAGAGGAAACTGAAAACCAGCATGTTTGTATTTACTGAAGTTGCTGACAGTGAAACCATGTCATGAACCCAAAGGACATCTTTATCCTTTCCCCTTACCTTTTACAATCAAATCTGTTTACTGACTGAAATGGATTAATTCAGTGAAACCAACAAGAAATCACAGCTTCTATTTAGATTCAGTCACTGTCTGTGATCTATATCCAAATGTCTTCTCTTCTCCTCTTTACCTTTATCAAATGAGACTGGACTACAAAGTTGATAGTAAATCAGTACTGTACCGGTTTTTAAATGCTATTGAGATAAATTTGCAAATACAGTTTAAACTGTGCTTGCATTTAAAGATGGTGCTGGTACACTAATCCTCATATGTTGGTGGTTGAAGTTGTCGTCTGGTACATTGCTGATACTATTACAACTTATATTCTACTACTGCCAGTGTTGCTACTACTAAGACTAGTTGGCCTCCCACCTCTTCTCCTGGTACTGTTAGCTACAAATACTAGTAGTAGTCATAATACTACTACTTCTCCTGCTATGTCACCACTACCACTCCTCCTTTTACTATTATTATATTACCAATACTGCTGCTATCATGATGACTACTTCTACTACTGCTGGTAAATATATTACTACTTCTTCTAATGCCACGAGGGTAGTGGTAGTGGCCATTGCCTCTATCACTAGTGCTCCTTTTACGAGTACTGCTATAAAGAGTCATTCAGAAATTCATGTGTTACTGTTTGTGCTGTTCCCAGGTCAGTTGTTGTGAGAGGAAGAACCTCAGAGTTGGAGCCATGTTGTCGGCGGAGGAGATTCTGTGCAGCACGCAGCAGGTGATCGCAGGGCTGGAGGCGCTGAGAGGAGAGAACCGCGGTTTGCTGGAGAGCCTGCAGGAGGCGATGGAGAGCCGGCCGGCGCCAGAGAGCAGCAGCAGCGTGGAGCAGGAGAAAAGCAGCATCATCTGCCAATCACTGGAGAGGATAGAGCTGGGGCTGAGTGAGGCACAGGTACAAACACAAGAGTGGAATAAGGACAAAGTTAAAATTATGGTTAATTTTCTTCTGTTTTCTTGTGGTTTCCAAAAAAAGATCTGTTATCGCTGGTGCAACTTTTTTTTCAAAGCTACTGGTCTTAGTTCAGGCACACTTGCATGGAGCCAAGGATGTAATTAAAATGCCTTTTTTGTGTAAAGGCACATCAGAGTAAAATATGTAACAAAAAAAGTTCCAAAAAGGGAAAAAAACGCAGACTGGTTTCAACCACAACAGGGTCTTCCTCAGGGCGTGGTTGGAAAGAGAAGTAAACCGGAATGGAGTGTCATGATTCCTTGTATAGACAGATCTCACTAGCATATCATATAATATATTACAAGTAGGTTATGTAGACAAGAAGATATTGATTACATCATAATTATAATCATTAGAAATTACTGATACCAACCATTTGTGAACAATAAAGAGAGGGGTAAGCCATTTTAGAAGAAAGGTCTGACATCTATTTCCTCATTAAGACCTGGATACACCAAAGCATCAAAATCCTATAAGTCTCCCACTGGAGTTATTTATTGAGGCGATCACCTCCTCTGATGGGCTGCTCCACAAGCTCAATACCTTCCACTTTCAAAAGGCTGTCGTTGGTGTTAGGACAAATATGGAAGTGGCGCTCCATAGTGTAATCAACATTATGAGTTTTTATGGCATATTTGTGTTCTGCTATTCTATCTTTCAAGCGCCTCTTAAAGCGCCCGATGTAAAAGCAGCCACATGGACAGGTGAGGCGGTACACTCTTCTTTACTATTATTTTTATGTATTTTTAAAAATGTTATCATTTTCATTTCTTTGCTACTTCAGTTTAAATTTTTTGTCCAAAATTACAAACAAAGTACAAATCTCACAGACGTCAGGCAACATTCATGTAACTGTGGGGAAAAATGCAATTTAGGAAGGTCCATTAAGTTTCAAAGTTAATTTATCTGAATATCTTAAAGATGACTTTCCCACACAAAAACACTATAATCAAATAGGTTAGAATAAAAGCTGATGTAATAAGTGCCATAAGTAAAAGGGCATTAAAAGCTAAGTACAAAAGTACAAATAAAACTGATTAAAGTAAAAGTTTATTTAACATTAAAGGTGTATTTAAAAGCGAGGAGAACAGAAATTACAATATTTACAAGCTGTAGTATTAGATAAGCATTAAAAATGCAATTAAGTATTATTTTAAAATGTTCTTATGATGAAATAGCTTTGGAGCCTTTCATGCTTCCCTATAAAATGTGCAGGAAAAGTTCCATGTGTCCATGTTTCTAAATTTTGATGTTCATTTGAATATGCTGCTGTATTTTTCCTCTGTGCTTCATGTCTCAGATGTCTCTCGTCTCCTCAGGTGATGATGGCGTTGTCGGCTCACCTGGGATCACTGGAGGCGGAGAAACAGAAGCTGCGAGCTCAGGTACGTTTCTGTAAAAAATAAGAAGAAAAAGGAAGAAGAAGATCTGAAGAGATAAAGAGCAGATGGGAGGTTCACTGAAGGTCATTTTTTCTTGAGCTTTCTGGATGTTGTTGTGGTTTCAATGAAATTCAACATAGAGGGTGACTCCACCAACCCTCCGCTAAACCCTCCACTGTGTTTTCTGTGTGGGGAGTTTTAATCCATCTTTGTTTTGCTAGTATACTGAAATCCTCCTCCTTCACCTTCTCCATGTAATCATCCATTCCCCTTGCTTGTTTTTCTTCCTGCTACTTCTTCTTTTACTCTTCCCTTTCTTCATTTCTTACTACTCATTCTTGTCTTCCTCCTCTCTGTTCTTCATCTTTCCTGTCCTTTATGTGATTTCACCATTTCTCCATCTTTCTCCTCCCTCTCTCCCATATTCATCCTCTTCCTCCTTTCCTTCCTTTCCCTCTACACCCTCTTCCTCCATTTTCTCTTCTCTTGTCATCCTTTTGTCATCCTTTCTCCACCCTACATCATTTCTTCTCTCTTTCTTTCGTTCTTTTCATCATTGCGTCCTCTGCCTCCTTCTCAGGTGCGTCGTCTTTGTCAGGAGAACCAGTGGTTGAGGGACGAGTTGGCTGGTGCTCAGCAGCGGCTGCAGGACAGGGAGCAGGAGGTGGTCACCCTGGAGGAGCAGAACAGACACCTGCAGTTCATGTCCTCCATACGCAAATACGACCAGGAGGAGCCGCAGCTGGTGAGGACACACAAACACGAACATGTCTTTGTGTATGTTCAGGGAGATTTTTCTATCACTTCCTCATCAGCCAACTAGGTGATCAAATAACAAAGGATCAGAAGTGGATAAATAGCTTGGCAACAGTAGTTGACTTGCTCTTTATTTAACCAACACATTTCATCACAAGGCCTCTGTCAGGGCTGTGTGTTGTGTGTGATTCAGGGAAAGCAGTCTGAAATATAAACCTGATCTGAGTTAAACCTGAGAAAGAGTAGTGTAGGCCTATCTGAACCTGACAATTTCTTAAATGAGTGTAGTCAAGACAAACCACAGTCAGCATTTAAATGGATCCTTAAAGCTGCAGTTATTATTTCTTGTGGCCTCTAGGGGGCAAAAGAATTATCGCCTCAGTAAGTTGTGAAGTCTGATCTATTCCTGTAGCAAACAGTTATTTATTTACACATTCAGCAGAAATGGAAAAAAACAATGTGAATGTAAGTCCAGTATTCACACCAACGTCTGAGAGAAAATATCTGGGGCCTCAAGTTAAGATTTTCCTTAAAGTTTGAGATACAGTTAGGTTAGATCACTCTACTTTCTGCTGCTTAATGATCGCTCTATGGTTTTATGCCATATGATTTTTCCTGACAGGTTTAGTCGAGGTATGTCATGTCTTTCTGTTAAGTCTCTTTCACTGCTGCAAATGCCTGAACTTTTTTCCTCAACTAAGGAAACCTTTTAAGAGATTCTGTGCAACAACCTTAAGTAACTCAGCTAAGGAGAAATTAAACCTTAAGTGTCATACTTTAGTAGAAAACTGTTGTGTGTTGTTTTGTGCAGCCGTTCCGTGGTTCTTTAGCTGCTAGATGTTCCACTTTCTTCACCAGTTAGTCACTAACTTTGTCTGCCTGCTGCTTCATGTTGGACAGATAGCATACAGTGTGAGCAACACTTTTCCTATCACAGATAGTCATTTGACTATAGTCATTATAGTCACAGATAGTCATTTGACTATCTGCTGATATCCAGCAGTTTTAATTCATTATAAAAACACTGTATATCATGCATGTAGGGAAATACTGCAAATGTGATGACATAATGTATCTGCAGTTTATCTGTTTGAGTGTGTTTGTTTGTTTGTTCTCCTCTCAGGATGACAAAGACACGTCCTCCAACAAAGAGTCTCTGGATGATCTCTTTCCTACTGAGGATGAGGAACAGTCACAGAGTAAGGCTCTGCTGGGGTGTGTGAATGTGATATGCTCATCTTTATCTAAGCCATGCAGGTCAAATATAAAAAGGGTTAATTTACCAAAATTAAAACAAAACCAAACTTTTATTTGCAGAGATTTGAGGTTCTTTCACTGCAGTGGAGGTGTTGTATAGATGTAAAGAGACATTGGTGTTTAGTTTGTGTCATTGAATGCTGTGAGCATCACACAAGCCACCTTGATTTTGCCAGCATGGTGTAAGATGGTGTAAAAGCTCAGAAAATAAATCTCAAATAAGTCTGCTGGTGTGAAAATATTTTTGATTTATTTCTCCCTTTACTAATCACAGTTGTCTAACAGGTTTGCAGCTGGTGATCTGTACAACTCACTGTCCCAACTGTTGAACTGTTGAACTGTTGAACTGTCTTCATTCTCTAGATACACTCAGTGTAACTGTATTTCCTCTGCTCATGATATTTTGAGTCACAACTCTTCACACACAACAAAGACATTTCAAGCTCTGATGTCACATTGTGAGCATCTGCATCACATGTAGTGATAATGAGTTTAAAGCATGAGACATCTTATTTTCTCATCCAGAAAATTTGTTCTTCAAAAGCATCAACACCTTCAATTCTTTTATTAAGTCATTTTGTACAACAGCACCTTGAGTGGACAGTCACATGACGGCTACTTTTCAGCAACAAGACACCAGATCATTTAAAGCTATGATGAATTAAAACCATGACAAAGTAGATGAAAAAATAGATGAATGAATGTGACTCAATAGTGAACTTTATTAGATTGAAGTGATTACTTGCATCTTGGTCTAATCTAGTTAAATCAAGCCAGCTCATTTATGTTCGAGGGGTGCCTTGTCTGTTTGTTTACTGAAGTAAAAGTTTGGCCAGTTGTAAATGTGACATGAAAATTCTGCTTTGTATTTGTTTATTTCTGTTCAGTGTCCCAGCCTCACCACAGCAGTGCAGCAGCTGCAGCCCAGCAGGGCGGCTACGAGATTCCCGCCCGCCTTCGAACGCTCCACAACCTTGTCATCCAGTACGCATCCCAGGGACGATACGAAGTCGCCGTACCGCTCTGCAAACAGGTGTGTGAAGGACTTCCATCTCCAACTGGTCCCCTGCACAGCATGTAACTGCTGCTGCTTGGGTCTGAAGTCTGCACCGGCTCTAGCTCCTTTCACACCAGAGAGGTTTAAGTCTGATGATCATGTCTCAACAGGCTTTGGAAGACCTGGAGAAGTCTTCAGGCCACACCCACCCAGACGTAGCCACCATGCTGAATATACTGGCACTTGTGTACAGGTGAGGCTAGTTAGTTACCATGGTGACAAATGCTAAAGCTGATCAATCTCCCAAAAAAAAGAACATCCTTGATTTACATCTGCATCTGGTTGTTCCCATTTGAGATGGGTGTCAAAGTAAGGTTTGAGGTTGTTACAAATGTCTCAAATTTCTATTTCTTAGTATTTAGGGATCAGTTTCTGTAACAAAACACTTTAGTTGAAGTCCTAACACTTATCTGAGCAGAAATGAGAAGCCATAAAACTTGAAAGTAATACGTGGAAATCACTAATGATAAAACCAACCACCATACGATTCTTCTTGTACTTGGAACATATGATTTTATATGAAAAGTCTGATCTGAGGTGACAGATAGTGTGACATGTTTTTTTCCTACAGAGACCAGAACAAATACAAAGAAGCAGCCAACCTGTTGAACGATGCGTTGGCGATCAGGGAGAAAACTCTTGGGATCGATCATCCAGCTGTAAGTTAATGAAGCAGCTGCAGTCACAGATGATTTAGTAACTTCTGAAGCATGGTTTGTATTTGTATTTGTTTTACTTTATTTTCACTCGCCAGGGATGTATCCTAACAGATGTCTGATCCTCCAGTCTCATTTTGTTGCTGCTTCTGACCTTAAAATACTTGCATTGTTCCCTTTATGGTTGTTTAATGCAGTATAGATCAGACCTACTGAGTTGGTGTGTGATATACATGTGTGTATGTGTGTGTGCGCAGGTGGCAGCAACGCTCAATAACCTTGCAGTGCTTTATGGGAAAAGAGGAAAATACAAGGAAGCAGAGCCACTGTGTAAAAGAGCTTTGGAGATCAGAGAGAAGGTGAGAAAAGACACTTTATATTACTGCACTTCTCAGACTTCTGAGCCTCAGAGTTCATACAACTCCTAATTATCACTACTACATAACTAACTGTAACCTAACACTCACCTAACCCTATTCTAACTTCAACCCTAAACACATTTAATAACTTAAAGTTATCCAACCTTTACTAACTTAAAGTTAGTAAATGTGTTTCAGGGAGAACTTAAAGTTAGTAAATTTGTTGTTTGATTATAGATCAGGTCTAGGTTCTATATTAATACTGTGAAAGTATCAAAGCCTCAGTCCACAGAGAAATGCACACAGCCTGTATTCAGAGACTGAGCCTTAAAACCAGCCGTCAGGACTTCTGGAACTTTGTGATGTCACAACAAACCAGTCACTCCTTTCAGTCATGCCCCAAGCCCCGCCTACCTGAACCCACCATACAACCTTGCAGGATTTGGTTTCTCTGAGTGTTTACCTGAAATCTGCTGTATTTTTATTGGATCACTCAAGACAACAGTCACCCACTGACCTGCTGTTAATAGAGCTTAAACCACAAATATATCTTCTTATGGATCAACACTTCAAATAAAACACGGGGGAAGAGGAAAAGATTTAAAACTGTGTCCTAAACTGGGAAGACATGAGAATCACTAAAATGTCCTAATTTTGAGGATTTTTTTTTTAGTTGAAGGATATTAAACCATTAAATGTAGAACATTGCACTTTTTACTTTACATTTACATTTTTGGCAGATTTAGTTGTTCCATTAAAAACATATGATTTTATGTATGATACCTTGTTACAGATAATCAATCAACAATCAACTACACCAGGAAAATTCTACTTGCATATCATGAGTAATAATAATAAGACAATTATACTGTATATGAAAGAACATCCATAGGGGACATTAGTACTTTCACTTTTGATACTTTAAGTGTACTTTCCTATTAATATTAGGGTAGTGTTTCTACTTAAGTATTTTAATGAACTATTTTTACAGCATGGTATTACTACTATTACTTTAGTAAAGAATGTCATGTCAAAGAGTGTCATGCATCAGATAAATACTTCACTTGTTTATGGAAAAATTGTATATATTTTTCAACCAGACAGTGTATTTTGTCTCCCATCAGGTTCTGGGTACAGACCACCCAGATGTGGCCAAGCAGCTCAACAACCTGGCTCTGCTATGTCAGAACCAGGGGAAGTACCAGGAGGTGGAGCAGTACTACGAACGCGCCCTGCACATCTACCAGAGCAAACTGGGACCAGATGACGCAAACGTGGCCAAGACCAAGAACAACCTGGTGAGAAGAGTGTAGAAAGGTCTTAGATCACGCATCATTTGTCCTGATATGACAACTGCAAAACAATAACTGTTAATTATAACTTTTATGTAATAAAGTCACGCTTTCATTTAGGCCTCCAAGTACCAATACTGAACAGTGCTCATGGAACGATATCAGATTATACATTTGTCATTTTCCTCACATCTAGACCTTCTCTTTCTTCACTCATCCTTTTGTTTCTCTCTCCATCTCAGGCATCATGTTACCTTAAACAGGGGAAATACAGACAAGCTGAGGCTCTGTACAAAGAGATCCTGACCAGAGCACATGAAAAGGAGTTTGGATCTGTAGAAGGTACAAAACAATGATATTTATTTTAAAGCAGAAGATGTTGTATTTTTGGACTTGTCATTTTGGTTTATTACATGTCTACCACCACATTGATTTGGATGACACATGGGGAAAATAGTGCATCCCACAAGAACACTTAATCTTGTTTTTGTAATTACAGTCATCATTCTTGGCATGATGCAACCATGAGGTTGTTTTACCATGTTATATAAAACCACTGCTTTGAAAGTGAAAACACAGATATTGAAAACCTAAATGACGTTTGTATTACTGATACATTTCCTGGTTCATCTTGAACCTTGTTATATTGTAGAGATACACTTTTCTTTACAGGTTCATAATAATGGCTTTATGTGGCCACTGGTAACAACTACGATATAATGGTGTATACTAAGACATTGTGTAACAGTAGCACAGGCACAGAGGAGTTATCAATGTGGAAATCTGATGCAATCTTACACAGCATTAGCTTTCTAATGTTTGCCAACATGAGCCACAATAAGCTAATGGTCATACCAGACCAAGTAAAGGCTTTAGTGACAAACTGTGAAAAATAAAACCTTGGGTGTAACTACCAAATGTTTCATCAATAACATTGCAGAATGTTAGTTTATAATGTTAAAGTGTGCAGGAAAACCTAACAAATGTCTGTTTGTGATTCTGTCTGTCTGTCCTCCAGGAGAAGGTCGTCCCAGCTGGTCAGGGGCCGAAGACGGCAGCTCCAGACAGGATGGACTCAGTAACCTGAAGCGCAGCGGCTCCTTCACCAAACTCAGAGAGTCAATTCGCCGGAGCAGCGAGAAACTGGTCCGCAAGCTGAGAGGGGTCGGAATGGAGGAAACAACCCCAAGGAATGCTGGGTAATATTCCATTAGAATGGTTTTTAAAACCCCCACTGTGAGCCGCTCATGGATGTACACTGATTTTGGCAACAAAACAAAATCACTTTTCTTTTAGGGCTTCTGTACATTTTTAAAGGAAGCTCTTCATATTTCATCCAATACTTTGATTAAGAACTCAAGACTGAAAAAAATTGATATCAAGCAACTGGAGGACAAGGTGATCTTAACTTCTGCAAATTTATGGCTTACTTTTCTTTTTAAGTTCAAGGGTTTTTTTTTTCTGTCACTTTGTTTAAACTTTGTTTGTTGCATTTCCCCCAACAACTCTTGTTTTTCCAAGCAGTAAAACTGAGCCTGTGGGAGTTTTTAGTGACATTTTGACCCTTTTATAAAGATTAAGTTACTCATGATATGTATTTATTGTTATTTATTATGTTAATTATTGTGATATTCTGTCCTGTTTTCAGGATGAAGAGGGCAAACTCTCTGAATGTGTTAAATGTTGGAGCCAGAGACAGTCAAGATGGAGCCCAGGTGAGCAGACTGTTGGTCATTCAGTCCATTTAACCACTGTGACATGCATGTACTTGTAGTAGACATAACCTTCAAGAATAAGATTTTTAGCCCATCAAATTTGATCCTTTTTTCAGTACACACAACATTTTTATGAAAGAAACCAAACTTGTCTTTGTTATTTCTCAGTTTTGCGTTGTTTTCAGTAATTATAACAGTTGAAATCCCGGCATTGACATGTATGTGTTTATCTGTAGCTTGTGTAGCATGTTAACACCTGCCATGTGTTTTTGTTTTGTCCCTCAGTCGAGCCGTTTGGCAGATATTCGAGGCCTGAGCTGCAGCACACAGAGCCTGACAAGACGAGGTTCACTTGGTGGGACCAGCTAACACACACACACACACACACACACACACACACACACACACACACACAGATTCACACTCACACTCTACATGCAACACCTCTTATTACTGGACACATGTTCAGTCTCTGACTGTTACGAGAAAGAAACCCACAGCTGAATCGATTGCTCACATCAGATGCCCTACACCAAAGTTAATCCCCTCAAGAAAAACTAAGAGAGTTGTCACAACTAAGTGACTGGAGACTCTAATCTAAGGTGCACATTTTATAACGATCATTCACTGAAAAAGTCACAACAAATATGTTTGTCTCCAGAGAGTTATTAGTAGTGTGTTTACATAATGACTGTACCTTGACATATTTACGCTGCACTATAACCTTTCCTTCCTGTTCACTTGAAATCCAACATCATTCCTTCCTGAGTTTAGATTAAAAACAAATTCAGTTTCCTTGTTACAAGTTAACTATGAACTCTAAAGTTAAACAACATGGAAACTGTTGTTGAACACAAAAACCCTTTAAACTACTTAAAATATCAGTAGCATTTACACTGCAAGAAAATACTTTAACAAGTTTACATGAACCAGACCATCATCTGCAGGTTAACTGAAGTATTAACAATACAGCAATTAATGTGTAATTAACTTGAGGTTGCGTTCCTCATGTTTACCCTTTTAGGTACATTTTTATTAACACTGAAAAAAATTATGATTTGTTTTAAATAAAGTTAAACAGGCATATTGACATGACAGATGATCTTTTTTAAAAAACAGATGTTCTCTTGATAAGCACAGGGACGTTCAAGTGTTTGCACATATTCAAAAACATGACGTTTGTCAAAGTGTAAATGTTACATTCGGTCTACGAGGGAGAAGTTAAGCTATCAAGTTTATGCTGTTTAAAGCAATGTATTTAAATGTAATAAGTGCTTTTGCCTTTAAAATGTGCAGGTCGTTCAAATTATATTTTCGTATTTCCAGATGATAATCATAAAAACATGAATCTGTTTACTTCAGCTGTTTTGCACCAGAAGTCCAGTTCTGCCATTCCAGATGATCAAAATAAGGACCAACGTTTTTCTCAGTGAAGTTACACTTAAAAAATTAAAAGATGGATATTTTTTTTCACATTAACAGTAAACATATTTTCAATAAAAATCTTAATGTAATAATATCAATCACTACTTGATTAATAATTAGGATTGACGCAGTTGTAGGTGTTACCAGTGTTACATGGCAACTTGGCCACCGTCTTCTTGTTCATGTTCCTTAATAGACATAAAACTCATTTAGTTCATTTTCGCGTTCCAGTGGTTGTTCCCACGTTTATCAGATAAATATACACAGCTCCATTGCTTCACATTGTGTCAAACAGATAACAACCTTCCCTAGCTCACAGCCCAAATCTCTCACACACACACACACACACACACACAGACACACACACACACACACACACACACACACACAAATTGGAGTTTTTGACGACACACTAATCTGGTGGGATTTCTTCTGGTGCTCCTGATGTCCAGTCCAACTATGACAGATGCTCTGTTGAATATGAGTGTGAGGGATTTTATCCATTTGAAATAGTAAAAAAGATAATATAAATGTCAATATTCAGTGGACATTGTTGATATTGTGGCAGGCTGCCACAAATAAATTAATGTGTGGGAAACACTGACATCTGATCTACAGATATTGAGCCGACACACGTCCTAATGTCTGGTCTAATCTGTAACACCGGTGTTGTCACGAGTTTCTTACCCAGTAGGAAAATTTCCCCCCTGTGGCATTGCTGTTATTATTAATACTAAAAGTACACACTTCAGTATTCAGCAAATTAAGAATTTCACAAATTATGTATTTGTTGTACATGTTTCACTTTTAACCCTCCATTCTATTCAGAAATCAGTCTTAAGCTATATGGCTCTCCAAAGTTGTTGTTGTGTGCCTGAGTCAGTGTCGTTCTGATGACCATCACCTGGCCTCGGACTGAAGTTAAGACTCACTTGAACAAAGATGCAACAGCTGTACATTTACTCAAAGCCACTGTTTGTGTAGGATTTTAAAAACATAAATTTGTTCCCCTCAGTTGTATCACAGAGATGTGGCAGACAGCACAGCACACACAGAGGTCACACTAACTGAATATGAAGTCAATTGTAGAGGCGACTGTTAAAGAGGTGAATTTGCTCTATGTGGGACAAACTTAGCCAAATATGTGTCAATAAGTTCAAAATGTCTCGTCTAACAAGCTTAGATGAACCAATAGACACTATTTGCCCACAGCCAAAGCAGACATGAGATAAAAGTTAGTGGCTAACCTCTGAAGAAAGTCAAAACATCTAGCAGCTAAAGCGAAAACCAGAGTTGCAGAGGAGTGAAAAATGGTCATACCAGTAGGAAGCACAAGGCAACATGTGCATGGGATCCAGAATACAAAAACCCAAATTGTTAGATATTTGTTTTGGAGTGTATCTGCCCCATGAAAGCAGTTTAACATAGAAGGAGATCAACTGAGGCACAGGCAGCGTACTTAAACCTGCAGTAACAGATTTTAACAAGTTGTGAACACAACATTGAGACAATTGGTTGCCGACTCAGCCACTCCTATTTAAGAGGGCTCCATGATGCTGGAGAACTATTTGCCTGATGAACATCTAAGACCAAAACGTTGCAATTAAATTGTTTGCTGCTAGTCAGACAGTGTGCAGGATTTCTTTGTTTGCCAAGTTTAAGCCTGCTGCTATGCACCTGCCTCACTGAATAGATGTGCAAAGTTTCCTCCTGTGAACACATTGACATACCATCACCTTTTAAGCTGATACTGCAAACAGTTGCTTATTTAAACATCCAGCAGTTACAGAGCAGAGCAGACTGTTATAATTTATTGGTTAAATTATGTTTTATATTCACTGTTTTAGTTTTTGGTCTTTACCATCTCCTCTGGGAAACATCTGGCTCTTTAGCTGCTAAATGCTCCACTGTGTTCACGAGCTGCTCTCTGACTGTCTCTGTTTGCTGTGTGGTGCTGAGCAGGTAGCGTTCAGTGGGTTATTAGAGCTTTTCTTTGCTGCTCCCTGTTGTGGCCAAAAACAACAAAGAGTGAGCAGCTGAACAATTAGCTGAAACGCACTATAAAGATCAGTGAGGTCAAGAGAAGCTGCAGATTAGTGTGACAGTTCTCTGTAGCTTTAAGGGGATCTTTCATCTTGTAATTTTACATCTATGCTTATTCACTAAAATGCCTAAAATGAACAATGCATCGCAAGTCACTATTATAAATATTAGAAAAGCTTGTAATATTTTAATGTGTAGTTTTCTATGTGCTCTTTTTAGTCTGTTAAAGAATTACTTGAACTAGTTACCGAAGACTCAAAGTCAAGACTGTGCGACATGACATCAACACTGCGTCACTTCTTCCATTTTATGTTAATACAGAGATAGCATTAAATAACTTCACACTCGCTGAACACTCAGGAATGTTACAGATATGGATGCAAATAAATGAGAGCTGCTTGGAAATTGTAGCTCCCTGAAAATGAACCCTCATGGATTTTGTTCCACCCTCCTCTTCTTAGGGCTCACTTCCATTTCTCATTCAAACATTATGTATATTTTATTTTTCCATGATGGAGAACTACTGATTGTACATTTTGCTGTGGTAGAAGAGGTCACTGCTGTTTGTTGTAATGGCTGAAATCACACTATGTTAGTTAGTGTAGAAATCTGTTACAAGCTTTATGAAGCTCTTGTATGATTGTCACATACAAAATGGGGAAAGAAATGTGTAGAAAACAGATTGTATCTCCTCTGATGCTGTGTTTATTCTGGTAAATATGAATGTTTGTATTTTATATTTGCAAACTTAAGCTGAAATAAATTACAATAAGACCATAACACCCTCATATTTTTTTACTGTTTGTTGTGTACATGGAAATATTGCTGCATGTATTTTGTGTCCTTATGGTTGTGTAGTTGGTTTCAGGGAGCTGCTACTTTCAATTTCTGTTTGAAAAAATCATATAAAAATTGAAAAAAAAAAACACTTTCCTAAGAAGAAAGAAATTTCTTAAATACAAACATGTTTATTTACTCCTGGTTGAAAAGCAGATACAAATATTCACATTCACTATAAAATGTGACTATGTACAGTTGCAGTAGTAAAGTAAACAAACAGCAGTCTGTATGACAGACACCATATGGATTGATGTTATACCCACAGATGGAATAACATTCCTGTTGTTAATGCAATGTGTTGATCCACTGATGATGACTGATTAACTTCAACACATCTGCACGTTTTGTTTGTTTGAAACAATTTTTTTTTTTTTAACATTTTTAAAAACAGCATGTGTTTTTTTCCTTTATTTAAAATGTAATGAGTGTTTTTTCCACAACCTGCAGTAGCCCTGAAAACAGCTCATCCATATGAGCAGTTTAATGTGAAGTAAAAGTTTTTGCATCGTAACGGGAGAGATTCACAGGAATACTGAAAACATACACTGCATATAAAAAATATTAGGCCCACCTCCATGAAACTGCAGCACCTTTCTCCCACATGTAATGCTGTGTTTACCGAGCGAGATAAAGGGGCAACCTAAACTGAAAACAGGCTGCTGACTTTTGACTACAGCAGATTCAAATGAAGATGGTTTGAGCAGAACTGAATGTTACAACACTAAATGGCTTTAGGCAGCAGTTTACAATTTGAGTATTTCAATGACAAGCTGCAATAATTAGCATGAACTAAGTCATTTGATCTGACTTTCATCACTGCCTTTAGTTGCCATTAGTGACAGGAAAATGAAGGTACAACATGCAAACCAGTTATTAAAGTTGTATGTAGTACTGAAATACATGCTTACCAGTGGACCCCAGGTGTGCCGACTTAAGGGCGGTAATGATTTTGAAAAAAATAAAATAAAAATCCTGTCACATTCTGTTAGGTGTTTTTGAATCTGATGTGACGTTGTCCTCTTTATAACATGGGTAAACACAGCACTACAGAGAGCGTGTGGCTGAGAGCTGTGGTGCTAATGCTCTGTAAACTCAATGTGTGAAATACTGAATGCTGAGTGGCTTATTTTGTGTAACCTTACACAGCAGTTGCCCCCTCGAAAAATATTACTGTAACCACTAGAGCTGGGTCAACCTGTATTTTAAATACTTTTCATGGTTGTTTACCAGCGGATGGAGATGCCACATATAAGGAAAGAGCAGTATAGAAAGTCTAATTTTAAGTTCTACTTCTGTTGTAACTTATTTTAGTATATTTGAACTGTCCTGATGTGGTAAACGCTGCACATCTGGCTCTCATCATGGACATGACATCATGTCACACATGTCACACATCACATGGAGTGCAAGTCACCTTCAAGTCTGCTGAGCTATCCGAGTGATTTTCTGCAGCATCTCCTCCGACTCCAGCTGCTCGAGAGTCAACAGAGACAGACCCAGCTGGTCCTCCTGCACACGGAGAGAGAGAGGGCAAGAGATTATTAGACACAGGGAAAAAGGGAAACAAGAAGCCTGCAAGGTCAGCTATCCTCAGTGTCTTGTTAAATGACATTTGTCTTTAGGTGTTGGCCTCAGGCAAATTCATTTTTTTTACTATTTTCATCAAAAAAATAGTTAAAATCTGTTAATTAAAGCAGACTCATTGAGCTCAATAACCATTTTCCAGAGAGACCATGAAATCAATAATAAAGTAATTGCTTGTGTCACGTGTACAGAAGTCATGTGACTCTTTGAAATCAATCAGTCTGAGGCTAAAATAAAGCTGTAGTTAATTTGAGTCAAGATAAAATGAGGTTTAGTAACTGACTGTAAGACTAATTTAGTTAGAATTTAGTTGTTTTTTTTTAATGTGAAATTATCATTTTGACATTTCAAGAAAACATTTTATGTATTGTTGTGATGAAAACTAAATTCAAACATCTTTACCAATGTCCCCCCTGGACTTTGATACAAAACAGACAAGAATTTCACACTTGAAACTTACTGTTACTTTTACAACCAATATTTCTGTCATGGTCTTTTTTACTTCTTGTGACTTTATCCCTGCTGAGTGAACACTGATTCAAATAACATTCACAACACCGTTGGGCTAGTTAACAACCCGGGCAGCAGAGGAAAAAAATGAATGCTTTGGAACACAGATTTTAAATGGCAGGTGTGAATCTTACCTGTCTGAAAGGCTGAGCCATCTGCCGCAGGAAGTGCTTGGAGAGGTGGACCGCCTCGTCCACAGTGAGGTTCAGACTGCCGTCGTTAATGTGCTCCTGAATCCAGCGAGGAAGCTTCCCACGTTTGTCTGCTCGGGCGTAACGCTGTGGAGAGGAAAGGGAGTTATTCCAGCTTCAGTCATCACAGACCGATTCATCTTCACTCAGGGCAATGAATCCCAAGCTTTACTTTACTGCTAAAATCAGAAGACTGTGGTTGTAATGGGACCTACCACAAGTGAAAGTGAAGCACGTTGCTGCTAAGAAATTGTGTGTTGTGTTTATAGGCCTGCTGTACTACGGCAGCATCAGAGGACAAAAATTTAGACTGGGAAAAAAGATCACACACCTTGTCAGCAAAAATCATGAGTCCGTAGTCGGTCTTGCCTCTGATGGCTCGGCCCACACACTGAGCTGCGTGACGCATGGCATCAAACGTTAGGAAGTCGTTCTCTCTGATCTGAAACTGATCCCGAAGGTACTCCAGACGAGCCTGAAACATCAGTCAGTGTGGAAAGAAACTTATGAAGCTTTGAACAGAGATGATGGTGAAACCATCCAGTCAGACTGAAGAAAGGAAGACGAGGATGTGATTTATAAATGCACAGACAAAGTTCATTCTCAAATATCTGTGCTTGTTCCTTTCTGACACACAGTAAAAGACACAAATCTTGAACTAAAGATTGTTCCTGATAATCAAACATCACAAGCAAAATATGTTAAGTAGGTAAAATGAAATCAACATTAGAATCAACTATATTATTCGTATATGTTGTAACTTTAATATCGTCACTGATATTCTGTAGTCTGTTGTGCTGTTGCACTGAACTGCATTATATAAAGGGGGTTTCTAATATTTGTCCCTCACACTTGTATCAGTGAGGGGAGGTGCGTCAATGTGCCCATAAAGTTGAATAAATACCTCTGAAACTGTTTCAGCTAACACTGAACATTATAACTTTCATGAAGGGAAGGTTTGTTGCAGGGTGCTGTATTAGACCGCTTCACTTCTGGCTAACTCTACCTAATAACTGACTAATAACTCTGTGTATGTTTCCGATGGACCCATCCTGTGGGGGTGAGTGAAGTGAAGACATGGGCTGTGCCTGAAATCACTCCCTCATTCATGACTCCCTGTATAACAGACACATAGACATATTCTGTAGTGAGCAAAACTGACATTTGGACACTTTGATGCTCCAAGCCACTGGATCCTGCCACCTAATCATATTAGAGGTGCTCCTACGCTGTCATCTTTTAAATCTAAACTGAGAACAATTTACCATTTTATTTTATTTTTATTCCTTTTATTGGTTTTATACTTGTTATTTTTATTATTTTATTGGTCTAATTATTATTTTATTTAATCATATTTTATTCCTAGTTTTTAATAGTTTTAATTTACATATATTAATATCAGTTGTTGGTCTTAATTATTTTATTTTCTTGATGGTTTTTAATTCATACATATCATTTATGTGTTTGTTTTCATTTGTGTCTAATGTTTTATCTTCACACTATCCACTTTTGTGGTTGCAACTTCTGTGATAACTCTTGCTTTGTGCAGCACACTGTCCTTCCACCTGGAGTGAAATGAACTATATAAATAAAGCTGCATAATAAAGCATAATTTTGCATCATCACTGACAGGTGTAGAAAGGTTTCTATAAAAGTTCCATTGTGGGAACTTTGAAGACACTATAGAGTGCATAATTCAGAGCCTCAGTGAAAACAGCAGAGGATAGATTTAGTGCATTTTATGGTACATAGTGAGTGATTTCAGACACAGGTATGGACACAGTGACAGGTCTGACCTTCAGGATGCGGCTCTGTGTGTAAACATAAGGGACTCCAAACATGATGACTGCCCGGCCAAAATGGTGCACTGAACAGAAAACAGAACAAGATTCATGGTTAATAAGTTGAAAAAGTGAACTCAACATACACTTCACTTAAGATGAAATGTTTGCTGTATCTTTATATTGTGTAAAACAATAAATAAATCTGTTGCACTGCTTGTATTGTTTCCTTTCATTTCTTTTCACTCCCGTTGGTCTCAGTAACCTGCAGCATCCTGATCATTTACCGAAATCTATTCCTTCAGACACCTTTCCTCTGGCCACAGAAAGGAGGATGGCTCCTCTGCCGTTCTCACACGCCTGAGCAGCAGACACAGATGGAGAAAGGTGAGAGGACAAAAGTTTGGGACCATCAGCATAAAAAAAACAGAAATAAAACATTACTACCAGTCTGCATTAATTTCTTTACCACACTCATAATGCTAAATGGCACAATCAAAGGCATTGTGTCATCAACATGATCTTGGCACCAGCTATAATGTTTTTTTCCAAGTGCAGATATTTCTGACTTATTTACTTTTATTAATAATAATAATGATGATGATATTTAGCATAAAATAAGGTGCCAGGTGTCTGTCTGACCTCCTGGTACTTCTCCAGGGCCATGCTCGTCTCTGCAGCATCCGGAGTCTCAATGAAGATCAGCTTGTTTCTCTGGATATTCTCGAGGATACCCTGCAAATAGACACATGAAACACACATCAGGAAACTGCTTCTTTTCCATATACAAAGGGATGAGTAAAAAAAAAAACTTACAAAATATCAGTACAGGAATGTATTGTATTACTTCCCCTTGTGATACATTGTTGATAAAATGGTGCTAAACACTGGTATTTTTCTTAAAGCATGCAGGCGCTCTAAAAGGGTTACTGCTGTTAGAAATGTGAGCAGTTTTACATAAAACAAGTTCATTACGCTTGTTAAGGACTGAATGTGTATGTTTTTTTACATGTGTTTATTATTTTTTAGAGCAAAATGTGTGTATTGCATTATTTTATTTCAAACACTTTAAACACTTTGAACCCAGAACTGTTCTGCTTTCTGGCAGTTTGACCTTTTGAAAGTTCATGGCCACTTTAGAGTGACCAGTCTCTCAGGTGTGTGTGTGCCGTGTCTGCTCACACACTGACCTGTTCATACCAAGACGCCACTATGTTCTCCATGTAGACATAGCTGGTGAAAAATGCCACAATGCCATCAGGAACAATGGCAGACATCTCCATAAGTAGGTTGCCATAGTTACGAATCACAGCTGGAAACAAAAAAGAAGAATAGTTGCAATATGTTTTGTCTTGAACTGTTTTTTAAAATATATGTTCTGGAAAACAAACAGAAAAACTAAATGTATTTATGTCAAAGCTTTAATTTGTTTTTCTGTGGAACATCGTGCTCTAATACTTGATGCTGAAGATGTTTCTACTGACCAAAGTCTTCTCTGGTCTCAAACTTTGAGCTCAGGGCCACCTGGTCGTTTCCCCTCCCAACAATCTATGTCAGACAAAACAGAAGAAAAGACAAGAATGGTGGCTGGAAAGGCTTCAACAAATCAGTAATGGGTTTCAAATGTGGAAATTATAGGATTAAGATTTTGCATATGGTCAAGCAGCTGGTGGTGTGACACAATTTGTCAATTTCGCTAGTGACAAGTTCCTCTGTTTCTCTTTCAGTCCACTGGAGCGGCTACAGTGAATGTGTTTTTGAAAGTGTGCATCTGAATGTAGTTACACACCAAAGGACAGAGGCAGGTACGTGACAGCGTCATGGTGAAGGATGCCATGGTAACAGGGCGGAAGTCCAGGATTCGGGGATAGATGTCCAATGGAGAGAGAGTCTGAGGACAAAAAGAAGACATGCATTCAATTATTAGTGCAGGTCAACAGTCATTTGTTTTGTCAACACAGACTTCATGACTGCATGTAACAGAAAAATCACGTAATCACAATATTGACTTGTGGATTTAATACTGAGGCCACCAGGCCGAATAAAAATGGCAATATGTTAGTAACTGTGATACATTAAAAAAAGCCGACAAGACTGAGAAGCAATTCATCCAAGTGCAATTACTGTACATAAATAAAAATAACTGAACAAAATTCCGTCAAATATTATATGAAGTTGCAGGATTATTTTAGAAAACAAAAAAAATATGGAGACTCTCAGGTGTTAAGTTTTATCACTGTGTTAGAGGAGGACTGAAGGAAGAAGACATGGAGAAATATTTTAACTTAGTTAACTTCTCAAATGAAACAACATTCAAATGAGAAGAGAAAACTCTTGTTTACTTGAATGGTTCACCGCTCTGTATACGCAGCCTGGGATGACGGTCGCATCAGACATTAAACTAGGGGTTTTTCTTTTCAAGGCCATAAGGCATAAAGTCTGAATTGTGAGTGTTACAGGACTGAAACATCATCTTTGTGACCAGAGCAGAGAGACAGAGACAGAGTGGTATCTCTCTTACCCCTGAGGTGATGATGACTGACTGAAATCTTTGAAAAACAGGTTTGATGGCGATAGACGGGTCCATGCAACTGAGGACAGAGATGAACAAAGACAGAAAATAAAGATGGCAACAATCACTTGTTTTCACTGTTTCTATCACACAGGCTCAGTTCTGCATCACCTCACATATTTGATCAATCCCTTTGATTGGCTGTAAACTGTAAACAACAAAGTAGTCCTTCGATCCAACAAAAACATCCAATAGACATCATCATCATTGTGTAAAATAAACAGGCCTGGAATCTGTGCTCTTGTTAAAATGCCTCTGTAATTAGTACTAATTAACAACCATAAATCTCAAAACTCCAACAAAATGTCTTAAATTTTTGCACGGTGTGGTGATGCTGGAAGTAAATGTTTGTCACGTTTAAATGCCAGAAATGCTGTTGATCTTTCACAGATGACCTATGCTAACATTACAACATTATTTGTCAACTGTACCTGAAGTGCAGCACGGGGTTGGCGATGGTTGGTGTTCTGTCTTCAAAGGGCTCAATGATTATGGTGAAACCTCCAGACAGAGAGAAAGAAATTCAAAACGACACACTTTTAACAGGCTGAACAGTTTTACTTTAACTGTCTTTGGGATCTTTGTTTTTTCTTTTACAAAGATTTGTTGAAACAAAAGATCAGCATCAGCTAAGACTATTCGTCTGCTTGTAGTGCTGCTGTTGTCTCTTTTTAGACTGTACATCTGTATATCTTTAGATAGTTGTATATTATTATCAATTGTGTTGTCTGTTTGTTTTGTGTTGTTTTTGCTTTTGTTGTCTCCTCTTAGACAATATATATCAATATCAATGCATTTCAATACATATTTTATTCTACTTTCATATCTGTAGTGTATTTTTGTCTTATGATAATAAAATTTGACTGTTTTAATTACACTGTACATGTAAAAGCCAAGACAAGAGCAACAGCTATAATCTCTGTGTGCAACACAAATCAGTTTCATGCTTTGTAGTGGAACTATGTTACATTGCATTGTCCCTTTTAAATAATAAAAAAAGAAACATTATGAAAAAGAAAGCTGTGATGGCACTTCCTCATTGTTTTTACACAGCAGAAGCAATGACTTCAGATATTAGAAGCTAAATCTGACTTCTGCCACACATTTCACTGCAAATACAGAGTAATATATTTGCTAACAGTGTCTGACTGGAGCACTTAAAGATGTACAGAGGTGTTTCAGTACCTTGGCTGTACGTGCTGACCAAGGTGGCGAAGTTGGAGATGAGAGTAACAGCTGAGAAGTCGGCGATGTCGGCAATCTCCAGAGTTCGTAGTAATGACTGCAACCGCTCTGCACAAAACCTGGAGAGACACAGACAGGGATACATGAAAGATTCAGGAGAGAGGGCCTACAGAGTCAGTTGGAAGCTGCTAAGGAGAAAGGAGGAGTTAAGGTAATTTATCCCCTGAAGCAGAGACTGAGAAAGTGAGCAAGAAAGTGAAAGAGCATGAAAACGAGTGAGCACATGATCACATGAAGCCACACTGCTGACTAAAGCTAAATGTGTGCAGAATTCAAGCAAAAAGGTAAATTAATGAAAAAATGGGATTTCATTTTAACGTGTTTCTAAATCAGACGCTCACCTGAGAGGCTTGCGGTCGATGCAGACTTTGTCGAAGATGTCTTTGAGGAACTGTGGCGCGCTCTCCTGTACGACATGTTGGACCCTCAGACGAGACTTCAAATACTCCAGGAAACGCCTCAAGAAACCAACAAAGTGCTCGGCTGTGCGAATAGTACCAGGAACGGCCTCTGAGAGAGAGAGAGAGAGAGAGAGAGAGAGAGAGAGAGAGAGAGAGAGCAGACAGACAGACAGAGTGTCAACCTTTTGTTTTGTTTTTTTTTTTCATATAAACGACCATTCTGAAATCAGTGCAATGAAAGGAAGGAATGTAAGAAAAACTAAATAATTTTGTGTCTATGTCCAATCCTGTTGATGGCCGTACCTCGAAGAATTTCATCTGGTAACACTGGATTTGAGAGGTAGACGTCTGTCTCCCTGGCAACGTTGGCTTCCTTCAGCCCCTCAACCAGTCGCCTGTACTCCTCCTTCAGCTTAGCAGCATCTGTCTCTTTTATCCTTTCAGAAAGCAGGAGAGTAAGAGCAGAGAGGACAACATGAAGTTGATGTGCTCCATCAGGAAACAATGGATACATCCCAATGCTCACACTTGTATTTGTGAAAACTCAAGTGCCCACATGTGTGATGTATTTGTAGTAACTGCCACAGTGGCCAAATGCCTGCTAAGACTGTGAGCATGTGGAGGTCTGTCACAGCTGAGTGGGGCATGCTTTAATAATTCTGTGGCTCATATACAGCTCAATGGATCTTGGGTACTCACAGATAAGTAGAACACATCAAACAGAATTACAGATGCAATCAGATGAGAAATAAAAAAACAAATGCACAGGAGCTGAGAGGAGTAATATAATTAATAAGCAACTAAATCTAGAAGCACATAGTTCTACTGTACATGAAGGAGAAGTTATTATTTTTCAATGGGTTCTGTTTGACAACATGTTAAGGGAAAGAACGCATTTGTCTAGGTCACTGATGAAAGGATATATTTAATATTTACTTGTGCAGTGCCTGTAATGTAATTTATAGTTCAATGCTGTATTCAATCATATAATCATCATCTAATTTCCACATCACTGCTGTGTAATGATATTATTAATAATCATCATCACCACCATCATAATAAAAACCCTGTCACATACGTGACCTGACCACATATTCAAAAAGATTGCTTTGACACATACACTCACTTGCCAATTTATTAGGTACACCTAGATAAAACTAATGCAGTATGAGACTACAGGCAATAAATCCTCCGTCATGAGAATTATAATGTTCAGTTTTTATTGAATCTATATGAGAGGTGTTGGTTTATTTCAACAGTCATTCTGGAAGTTGTGGTGTTATTCAGCTGCACTGGGTTATACTGAAGTGTTCCTAATATTTTGTCAACCTTTATTCATATAAATGGGATGGACAATATATTAGGAACACTTCTCTGTATAATCCAGTACAGCTGAACAGCACCAAACAATAACAATAACAGCAACGGTGCATTTGTTTCGTCCTTGGGTGGGGATAAAAAGAGTAAACAAAATGGCAGCATCTTAGAAAACACTTGTGACTGTGCACAGCTATTGCATTGTGGTGATAAACCATTTCCAATTTGGATCTCTGACTGAAATTCACTCGCACTTTAGATGACCCTGTGCAGGTCTCATGGCTGCAGCTTGTTTTCCTTTATGGTGTCACCTTTACAACGTGCTCTTGTTGTAATCAGAGACGGTGGTTATGTGGATTGCTCACCCTAACTGACTGTCGTTTAATGTTTCTCGAGAATTGCTCTTCCAAAAACCTTCACTATCGACACTGCCCGTCCTTGGGTCCTCAACAATACACCAATGAAGTTTGAAGTCGATCAGATGAGCGGTTGTCGAGAAACTCAGACTGACAGAAATTCTTCATTTATAGTTTGATTTTGACAATGTCATGTCTATAACTCTTGTGAAGAGGAACAGATTTTTGATGTTGACAGGTGACCATCTGTTTAGATAATACCACAACGGTGTAAAGTTCAGACCTGCATTATAATATTTCAGTTCATCCCAACATATAAACTTCAACCAGTTGATGATTAAGGCCATCTTAGGGGGACAGAAGACCATGGTGAATTGTGGGATACACATGGCTCTGACTACTGCTGCTCCACAATGGTATTAAGAAAAGTGTGAGTTAAGTGCACTATGTGTTGGCATGTTTCAGATGTCAGAATTTGCCTACTACCTGGCAGTGCACACGAGAAACACAAAGACCTTAAGGTTGACTACAAGACAAGTGTTTCAGTGCTCTTGCTGCTGCTGTACTCTGCACCACTCTCACTTGTGTATGTTGTTCTGGAGTGTGTCCACATTGTTCTGGCAGCGGTCCAGCGTTCGCCTGGTGATGTTCACACTCATGGAGTCGATACATACGTTGTCTGAAGAGGGGGGAAGAAACAGCAGAGGAAAAGAGGTAGAATTTAAAAGACAAAACAAGAGGAGAAACATTAAATCTTTTTCATGAAATAAATTTACAATAATTAACATAAAGCCTAAAATAAATTATAAAATTAATCTCAGGTTAGGATTTGATATCATTTTCCTTTTATTACACTAAATCATAATGTTACACTCAGTTCTGTTCTTTACCTATATTATGAGCCTCATCAAACACCACTACAGATTTCTTGGCCAGCTCTTTGGACACCAGGTCAGCTATCTTGGGGTCAAGCAGGTAGTGGTAGCTGTACACCACGATGTTGGCATGGAGGATCTGAGGGCAAATAAATAAAGTCAGGGGAACAGTGGTTTTCAGTAAATGAAACAATGACTGAAAGCTATTTTGTCCAATACAAATAATTTTTTCTTGTTATCATAAGAAAAACACTCACATATAAAAAAAAAAGCAGAGTAATCTGTAGATGCTATTAATTCTATTATTTTGCTCTCAGAAAAGTGCATTTGTTTTAATCTTAACCGACTATAAATCCATCCAGTAATGGCTTTACTAGGAAAAGCTGAATGTCCACATCAAGTTGAAAGTATTATGTTTGTAGAAGTCTGCAGTGCAACATACAGAGTAGCGTGCCAGATAGTAAGGACACCAGCCTTTCCTCCTGCCAAAGTCCTTTAGGTCATCAAGGTTATAGATGCCAGCAGGAAGAGGCACCTGTCGGCCGACTGCATCAAACTCCTGCAGAAACAAACCACAACGAGGAATGAGGTTCAAAGAAACAAGAGAAGCAGACGACACTTCTTAAAGGTCCATATTTTCTTCTTCTTCTGTCTTTTATTTGAAGTGTTGATCCTTAAGAAGATATATTTGTGGTTTTAAGAACCAAAAACCATCTCAGTGTAATTTTACATCTCTCTCAGGCTTCTCTCTGGAGCTCTAGTAACAACAGGTCGGTGAGCCAATCAAAAGAGAGAAGGCTCTGAACCTCTCTTCTGATTGGCTGACTCTGAGTGATCCAATAACAATATAGCAGATTTCAGGTAAACACTCAGAGAAACCAAATCCTGCAAGGTTGGATGGTGGGTCCAGGTCAGAGTGACTGCTTTGTTGTGACATCACAAAAGGTGTGCTCAACTTTATGTGGAGTCGCACAGCGCTGACTTGACACAATGCATGCTGGTTAGAAATTTTGTCTGAATTTAGGTTTAGGTGCATTCAACTTTAGGTGGCGCTGCGCAGCAGAAAGCTGTAAACAGTTTAAATCAGAGTTTGTTATTGTAAAAGAAGTAATGATCTTATAGGTCATATCTTTTATTCTTAAGATTTTTGTTTTCACCTCCTGACAACACGGTGGCCCTTGTTTTTTATTCTCAAGTCTATGGTTCTCAATAAAACAAAAAGGAATAAAATTGCTGCCTCTCTATAAGAGTTGCTCTAGCAGGTATGTTATGTGTGACCTTTCCCCTCATAACCCATCACCCTCCTTGTTTTCATAAAACATTAATTCATGTGTCAAAAGTCTGATGTAAACTTGTGTTTGGCCTGAACATGTTTTAGATCAACATGTGTTTGGGGGAATAAACAGTGTGAATAGATTTAGCAAAACAGTCCTGTTTATCACATACAGTCACATATTGAGGATAACACTCATCATTTATAAATAAAGAAACACAGAAGCTCCTCACTTTTCCGCAGTGTGAACAACCTGCTGCTGTGACACAAGTGAACTGAGCTCACCCGCACTATGGGAAGTAGACTGTTGTCCGACTTGACTGCAGTGGTTTAATACTATGCCCCTGAAGTCAAAGGCAGCTCATGTTGACCATCAAGTCAGGCGCAGTCAGCCGAACTCAAATGCACCTAAAGTTCTAGAAGTCCTGACGGCTGGTTTGACAGGCTGTGTGCATTTCTCTGTGGACTGAGGCTTTGATACTTTCACAGTATTAATATAGAACCTAGACCTGATCTATAATCAAACTACACATGGACATCTACCTTTATACTATATCGGACCTTTCTTTAATGATCATTTCGTCACAGTTTGAGCCTTGTTAGGTGTTAGACGTTTGGGTTTTAGCTGAATAAAAAGGTAAATAGTTCAACCTTCAAATATACATTGTCACTGATGTTACACAACTTCATACAGCACAAAGCAGTAAGGCAGTGCACCTGAGATGTGTTATAGATTCAGTCACAGGACAACAAGCTCCAGATATGAACTCTAGTCCGTAGTGACACACAACATGTTCTCTGAGTACTTCTTATCATTTGCTTTAGCCTTGATAGAGATCCTAACATGAGGGTGACACCGTCCTATAATGGTCTCTGTTCTCAGGTGTCACTCCCGTTGTGCTACAGACTGCTGTTGCTGTATCTGTTGTAAATATTAGTTACACACACACTTAACATGGTTCACAAAACATTTTTTTATCATTTAAAAACAGAAAATGTATTAGGTGTTGTGATCCATAATTTATTGTTGAGTTAAACGTTGCCTCAATCTGCCTCATTTACTTCTACTTCCTGTTGAAAAACAACAGCTGCTCTGAGTCAGATGAACTCAGGCGACTTCCTACCTCGTAGAAACGACAGACGGGCAGGTTGGGGTTGCTGTGGCGTTGTGCACGAATGTAGGACGCTGTCAGACTGTGGCACTTCCCATCAACCTCCTTGCCAAAGCGAAGGGAGCTCACCTGGAAATAAGCAGAGGATCCTGGTTACAGTCAAGGCAGGTGCTTCACACGTGTATGTTAGTTTGTTCATGTTTCCTGTGTTGTATGTGAGGTGTTGATTAAACAGCAGGTGTTCGTACCTCAGGGTGGATGCAGAGGTTTTTCCTGGAGGAAAGAGCCAGAGCCAAGAAGTTGTTGGTTTCTCCAGTTTCTTTGGAATAAAACTCCATCAGTTTCCTCAGCTCCTCCACAACCTAATGACAATACATGACACAAGTTGTGATGATGTGTAGAACATCTCCTTATTATTGTTGAACTGGCTATTAAATGTTTTCTTACATGTTTCACTGTTTGAGTTTAACTTTCTGACCAGACAGGACAGTTGGACAGGACAAAGAGCTGAGTGTGAATTCATTTGACACTGACTCACCTTCTCGATCTCTGGAACTGTTCTGGAGCAGTATATTAACTTTGTCACCTCCAAAGGAAAGGCCTGACAGAGAAAGAAGCTCACATATTAGTGTGTTTGTGTGGCACTGGCCCGTGGGAAGCCACAGTGGTGGCTTGGTTGGTAACTCCAGCACAATCTGAAAGCACAGAAAGTTTAAGAGAGAAGCTAAACTCACCCTTTGGTAGGCAACAATGAGAGACAACAGAGAGATGGTCTTCCCTGTTCCTGAGGGCATCTCCAGGACTCCATGACCCTGAACAAGACAACAAAACACACAGACATGAAGTGAACACTGTGTAGCTATCCTCCCAGCGATGCAGCAGAAAACAACAACTCAGGATAATTTAAACCCCCCTCCTTGATTGTCGTTTCATCAGTCACTTAGAGACAAATCCTGGACAGATAAACTGTGTTTCCCTCTCTTTGTTTCCCCAAAAGAGTAACACAATACAACAGTAACACAAGAGGGTATTCAGTATTAAAGATCGTAACTTTTCAAGACACCTATTTGATTTAGAAAGTGAGAAAGAGATTTTCAAATCACGTAGAGAGAGGAGGAACGATAACAGTGACCAACAACTATTTCAGCATGAATACAGGCAAGAGAGAGGTAAGAGTTGTTTTAAGTAATTTTTTATACAATCAATAAACACAGACTACAGCACTAATCCCCTATGATAGAGAGATTGTAACTAAACTAAAGCATGTGTTAAGACAGTATCTGTATTTACCTGCAGATTGGAAAGTAACAAAGTCCATTTATTCAAGTACTGTACTTAAGTACAATTTTGAGGTAGTTGTACTTTACATGACTAAACTAATGTGCTTTTTACTGCAATACATTTATCTGGCAGCTGTAGTCTGTTTCAGAATCAGATAATTAATACAAAATGTATTTAGGAAATAAACAGTGATGTATCCATTGTAGGTTAAAGAAAGACTTCGTATACAAAGCTAAATTTTCAATGAGATGATACTTTTGTACTTTTGCTTGAAAATTTAATTAATTTTACCTGTAACAGTATTTCTACACTGTGTATTACTATTTCTAATTCAGTAAAAGATCTGGGTACTTCTGTGAGAACTGGTATTGACATACACTCACAGAGCACTTTATTAGGAACACCTGTACACCTGTTTATTCATGCAATTATCCTATCAGCCAATCACATGGCAGCAGTGAATTAAAGCATGCAGATTCAGGTCTGGAGCTTCAGTTCATGGTCACATCAAACATCAGAATGGGGAAAATGTGATCTCCATTACTTTGACTCATTATAATCTAGTTTGAGTCTTTCTAAAACTGCTGATCTCCTGGGATTTCCATGCACAACAGACTCTAGATTTTACAAAAACGTGCAATAAACACCTAGTGAGCGGCAGTTCTGCAGACAGAAAGGCTACTGTCACTCAGATAACCACTCTTTACAAATGTGGTGAGCAGAAACGCTTCAGAGCGAACAACATGTTGAACCTTGAGGTGGATGAGCTACACCAGCAGAAGACCACGTCATGTTCCACTTCCTGTCATCAAGACCAGAAACCTGAAGCTGCAGTGGACACAGACTCACCAACACTGGACAGTTAAAGACCTGGTCTGATTGAAATGGATTTGTGCTGATGCAGCAGATGGTAGAATCAGAGTTTGGTGTCACCAGCATGAATCCATGAACAGACCAGGCTGGTGGTGGTGGTGTAATGGTGTGGGGAATGTTCTCTTGGCTCACTTCGGGCCATTTAATACCAATCAATCATCGTTTGATGCTAAAGCCTGCCTGCGTATTGTTGCTGACCACGTGCAGCCCTTAATGTCCACAATTTGCTTAGTGAATGTATGTGCATGACATCATACTAAGATATGAGAATTTGTGATTAAGATTTTAATATTGTGTTATTGGGATGAAAATGAGCTTGTACCTACAACACAGTTTATTTAAAGTGAATGACCTGTATCTGTATATCCTGTGGGATTAACAGAGATACTGAAACACCACCCACCTTGGCATCCAGGGTCCTCTTCAGCTCCAGCATGTAAGAGTACTGCTCAGGATAGATGTAGTCATATGGAAAGTACACCAACAGACCCTCGATGTTGAGCCTGGAATAAAACAATACTTGTAACTGGTTTCACACATTCTGCAGATTCAGAGCAGAGAGTTTGCCTGTTTGTATTCATATGTGATGATATGAAAAGCAACGTCCCGGTGCTTAAACCTAAAACTTTAATATCACATAGAATCTGATTCACCAACCACATTATGAAAGATATGAATCTATTGACATGTCTTTCACATTTTTGTCAGTACTTCCCATCTATATGCAACAGTAATTCCAAATAATACCATTAATCAAACATTAAACACGGCCTGGATTTGGATAAGCAGCAGAGAATTAATGAATGTTTTTTTTTTAGGTCCACGTGAATAGTACAAAGCATCAGAGGTCTGGAACAGTAATACTAAAGATTTTCCTGCCTATTTTAGTTAAATTCACGTACAAACACGTTATACAGGCTAGAAAAATATGAAGGTCCTTCGTAAATGAAGTGTTAAATTGAAAAATGGGGATTTTTTAAGGTCCTGCAGACACTATCAATGTAGGATGTAGGATGTAGGTAGTCAATGTAGGATTACACATGCGCATGATGCTAAGCTAATGTGGACACTGGTTTTGTAACTCAACTCTAATTAAACGAACACACAGACTGACTTTTGGAGAAAAGCCTGAATACACCGCAGCTGCCAGTGTCAGTTCTAATGTTAATTAAACTGTCAGATAGTTAGTTATTGTTAAACTTAATGCTATCATGCTAGCACTGACAACACATTACGTCTGCAAGAGTTTTTTTTATTTAAGCAGAAACACTCACTTCATTTTGGTGAGACGTGTAACAGCCGCTCCTATTTTTAACAGCCACTTTCGTTATTTTGAAATAACCATTAATAACTCTGGTCTAAGCAAAAACAACACACAGACAGCAGCAGTCCAAAGCTCGAGGCTCCTCCTCCTACTTCTTCTTCGTCGTTCTTCTTCTTCTTCTTCTATGATTTTTGGCGCTTTACCGCCCTCTATAGGCTAAAGAATAAACTGCTTGATTTTTAAAAATAAAACAAGATGATAATCAGGCAATATTTTAAGAATTATGATAACTTTAAACATGAATAAAATAATAATAAAAATAATTATAACACCTTTGCAATGCACTCATAAACTATTAGCAATCAGAAAATGTGTTAAAATACTTTAATATGTGTTATTTCTTGAACACGAGAACCCACCTAATTGTCAACGTGAAAGTAAATAGTCTGAGACCTTTTTTCAATAAAACACGAGTTTATTTATTTTGTCTGAATGGTTAATACATATCAATGAATAAAGTGTGGCTTTAAAACACATTGCATAAGTTTTGTAATATTTTAACAAAATGATAAATAAAGACTAATATCCTCAATTTCTAAAGCATCTCTAGATTCTGTGTACATAATCAATAACATGCATAATACAATGAATCTATCCTTAGAAAATCAGTGACATTCAGATCTGCTGACCATTCCAGTGATTTGTTTGAAAAGATAAAGCATAAAAGCAGAGTTAAAGCTATAAATGTTTTTGGGACATGTATAAGTAATTAATCTCATGTTTATTTAAACACAGTTGAAAAAAGAATGATTTACTTGAACAATATGATTACTATATTAAAATGTGCCTAGCTTCCTCCATCCATTCAAATAAGTTTGCACATTTTGGTGGGGTCAGATGAAAGTAATCGGAGATCTAGTCATCCTAGGAAAGTTCCATTGGAGTGGTTGGGGAATCTGATCAGGCATAAAAAAAAGTAAAAAAAAAGAAGAGTAAAAGTCAACAACATCTTTGTCCTGTAACAATCGTAGCTTCTATCTTTAAAAGGGCAGGAGGAGGAAGACATTTACAAGGAATTCTTTAGAAGAGAAAAGAGAGAGAAAAAGAACAATCTAAAAAGGTGTGTGTGAAAGAGACAGACAAGTACAGACTGAACTTTTCTGTTCAGTTCAACAGTGAGAAAGTTCCTCTAACAGGAGCAGACTCTCTGCTACACTGAACACAGAGTCACTGAAGATTGAGACTTGAACCAGGACCCAAACCCAAACCCAGGATAAAGAGGTTCAGTGAATGTGGTGTTAAAGGTGTAGAGGTGGATCAGTGAGTCAGAAGAGACTCTGTAGAAGGACAGGATGCCAGCAGGACAGTCCACATAAACTGCTACTCTGTCAGAGAAAGAGGAGGAGGAGGAGGAGGAAGAGGAGGAGCAGCAGATGGATGTTCCTTGCTTATTGTACCAGACATAGTAACCACTATCAGAGCTGTACAGACTCCAGGACCTGTCGTTCCTTCCAAACCTGCTGTCATCTCCATCTCCTTTCTTTTTGATTCCTCTGTAACTCACTGATATGTAACACCCTCCTACACATTCAACTTCCCAGTAACAGCGCCCAGTAAAACCATTTTTACACAGCAGCTGA